CTAAACATATTGTAAGTGGGCAACTCACCATGCAGTATCTCATAAGGGCTTTTCCATCCCAATTTCTCACTAGGAAGTGTATTGATGATTTGGACTGCAGCCAATAAACTGTAAGGCCAAAGATCCTTTTGCAAGTTTGACTGAAATGAAATAGATCTTGCTACTTCCAAAATCACTCTATGTTTCCTTTCAACCACTCCATTTTGTTGTGGAGTATATGGACAAGATTTTTGATGAATCATCCCTTTATCTCTAAACAGTTCAGCCACATCTTTGTTTATGAATTCTGTCCCATTATTTGTTCTAACCCTTTTTACCTTCTCCTCAAACTGAACTTCCACCATGTTTAAAAAGAATTTGATGTGCTCATATGTCTCAGACTTGTACTTCATAAGAAAGATCCAAGTTGCCCTTGAGTAATCATCCACAATAGTCAACATGTAAGCAGTGTTGGTCTTGGATCTCTCAAGATATGGTCCCCAAACATCTACATGAATCAGATCAAACCTCCTTTTGCTTTGTATGTGGCTGAGGGGAAAAGACTCCCTGCGTTGTTTTGATTTGTGGCAAATGCCACAGGAACTCAGCCTTTGATCTGAGCAAACACCTTTAAGGAAACTAAGGTGTCTGAGAGCATTGATAGAGCTGTGTCCGAGCCTTTTATGCCAAAGATCCACTTCTTTGCTCAAAAACTGCACATTTTCTATGGTATTAGCAAAATACTCTTGTCCTTCTATGACATATAGACCTGCCATAATCTTCCCTTCAACTATCACTGCATTATGAGCATTATCAAGAAGCTTGCAACCCTTACTTGTGAAGCTAAAACTTAAACCATTGTCTTCTATCAGCTGTCCCACAGAAAGAAGATTATATTTGAATTCAGGCACTAACAACACATTTTTGAGCAATACTTTGTCATTTAATTGCACTTCACCAACTTTAGTTACTTCAAACTTTGTACCATCAGGCAAGTTGACTGACTGGTATGGATGTTTCTGCACTACAAGTTACCAAATCAAGATTTGAACAAATGTGTTTACTGGCTCCAGTATCCACTATCCAGCTCCCTCTATTCAATGTGTTAAACAAGGAGAAGACGTAGCCTTCTGTTTGACTTGAAGACTCCACCAGATGTGAAAAGGTATGTGTTTCAGCTTCCTGTTGCATTGACATATATTTGGCAACTTCTCTGGCTAAAGCACTTATGTCTGTTGAACTGTCACTATGTTGTGACTTTACTTCTGAGTCTGTCTTTGAAAGATCATCTCCTTCAACCATATTAATGTTCTGTCCTTGCCTTTGCTGCCTGAGTTCCTTGTACCAATCTGGGTATCCATTGAGTTTAAAACACCCTTGGACCTCATGTCCATTATATCCACAATGTGTGCAGAATAATTTTGCTCTTTCTTCTTTGGACAGTCTAGGTGCACCCCTACCTCTCCCAGCATTATTATAAAACTGCCCTCCTGGTCCTCTTCCACTATTTCCACGGCCAAAGTTTGAACCTCTGCCAAAATTTCCCTTAACCAACATTGTTGAAGTTTCAAGTGGATTCAACAGACATGTCACCACATTCTTTTGCTTTTCCACTTTCAAGATCATAGAGTATGCCTTGTTTACTGTTGGCAGAGGATCCATTAAGAGAATTTGGTTCTTTACTGGTTCAAATACTTCATTCAGACCCATAAGAAACTGGATGAGTTTGATTTCCATGTCATTTTCAGAGATAGCTTTGCTTGACCACACACACATTCAGGTAATGAAATAAGACATGTATACTCATCCCATAGACACTTTAGTTTAGTGAAATATGCGGTAAGAGAAAGAGTTCCTTGAGAAAAGTTGGTTATCTCCCTCTGTAATTGATATTTAAGAGGACCATTGCTATCACCATATCTCTCAGCTAGCTCATCCCACAATTGTTTGGAAGATTTAACATATATGAAGGCCTCAACAATATCTTTCGAAATTGAATTTAACAGCCAAGATATGACCATAGATTCTACCTTCTGGTACTGTGTGTAGTCATCTGTGTTCTGCTCTGGAATTTCGACTGTTCCATTGATGAAACCTAGTTTGGATTTTGCGATGAGAGCTAGCTTCATTGCTCGGCTCCAGTGTGAGTAATTTGCGCCGGTGAGCTGATTTGTGACCAGTATTAACCCAGGACTGTCAGATCCATGAAGAGCCAACGGATCGATATCTCTCGCGCATGTGCTGCGTACAATTTCTCTCCCATGCTCGTCTCTGTTATGCGCCATTGATTATGAACAAAATCGATCAATTAACCTGCTCTAGATACCATGTAGAAATGTGTATATGAAAATTGAAGAATCGAAAACAATATCAAAAATAAAAGCAGATCGCCATTTTTGTCAAGCTCACAGCATTTTTTATAAATCTGAAAATCTATTTTGGGAAGATGAACATATTGGGAATAAAAGGAATTCCCTCAGCTCACACATGCTCGATTACAATGGCACACGTGCCTGACAACAAAGATAAAAGAACAGAAAATAAAAAAGCGCACGACATCATTAATAAAAGCGTTAGCACGCTTAACAACTAAACAAAACAAACAAATAAAAAACTGAAGAAACCAAACAGCATGAATATGCATGAACATGCACGCAATAGATCCTCCTTGAACTTCAACATTTCAACAACACCACTTATGTGGCATGCACACATTGGTGATGTTAATATGTTCAAAAATACATCACCAATGTAT